TGGGTGATGTGGGGGATGGGGATGGGTGATGTGGGTGATGTGGGGGATGGGGATGGGTGTTGTGGGGGATGGGGATGGGTGATGTGGGGGATGGGTGATGTGGGGGATGGGGATGGGGATGGGGGGTGCGTGATGGGTGTGTGAGGGTGGTGCAGGGGGGAGGTGCCCCCTCCCCTCCCCGGGAGTGAGAGACATTGGCGTGCGTTGCCACCGCCAATAGCCACACAGCCGCACCACGCAGAGCACCTCACTCTGTACACCCCCATACCTGACTATGACCTCGCAACTCGGACAACTCCGCGCTGTGGTCTCGCCCTCGATCCTGGCTGCTGACTTTACCCGTCTTGGCGACGAGTGCGCTACTGTGCTTGGAGACGGCCATGCCGAGTGGCTCCATTGCGACGTCATGGACGGCGCCTTTGTGCCCAACATCTCCTTCGGCTTCCCCATCATCTCCTCGCTCCGCAAGCGCTTCCCGGACGCCTTTCTCGACTGCCACCTTGTACGTCCACTGCTTCTCCTCTTCCTCAACTCCATGATCCTCCTCTTTGATCTCTCGCTGTGGCCATTCTGCGCCTTCCGCTGCCTATTGCTTTCTCGCCGACCGGGATCACGCCCTTTTGCTCTGCCGCTCCCGCTCTCCCTCTCCCCCCCTCCCACACAGTGGACCATGGCTTCCATCAATGTCACTTTCTGTAGTTAGTTTTGCCTCCTTTTGTCACCCATGCCGCGATATTCTGCTCCGCCTCTTCGACTTGGCCGCAATCGTCGCCGGTCGACGGCCTCTGCCACTTTATCGATGCTTCCGCCAGAGACAGGAGACTCACACGGCTGATGCGCACAGATGGTGGAGAATCCTGGCAAGTGGGTGGAGCCGCTGGCCAAGGCCGGTGGCTCGCTGATGACCTTCCACATCGAGGCGGTCGAGTCGGTCGACGCCGCGCGGGTGCTCGTGGACGCCATTCACGACGCAGGCATGGCGGCCGGCGTCGCCGTCAAGCCGGGAACTGAGCTGGCGGCCGCCGGCGATCTGGCCGACGTCGTCGATATGGTCCTGATCATGACAGTCGAGCCGGGCTTTGGCGGCCAGTCGTTCATGCCCGAGACCATGACCAAGGTCGAGACTCTCCGTGCTAGTCACCCGCAGCTCTTCATCCAGGTCGACGGCGGGCTCTCGCCCAAGACAGTCGACACTGCCGCCGCTGCCGGTGCCAACGTCATCGTCGCCGGCTCGGCCGTCTTCAAGGCCGACGACCGACTTGCAGTCATCGACGCCCTACTTGGTTCGGTCTCTGCGAGCCTCGCGTAGCGGAGCATCTACTCGACCAGCGGATCCGGTGCCGGCGCCTCGTCGTCCGGCGTGGCGTCGTCGGCGCTGGCCAACGCTGGTACTGCTGACGCCGCAATCGCAGCTTTGACCGCCTCTGCAAGCTCAGTGAGATCGGCCACAGCGTCACCGTCTTCTTCGTGCTTGCCCTTGATGGCCTTTGCGATGCGAACAAACGAGCGCAGCGCCTCGCGTAGTGCCTCGCTCTCTAGCCCACACTTTCGCGCCGTCACCAGTGCGCCGTACACCTCGCCGATGAGCTTGCCCGTCTGCACCCCCTCACCAAAGCCGTCATCAAACGACCGCTGGACAACTGTCTCGGATCCTGCGCTCCTGCCAAGGCGGAAGCCGATCTGTGTCCACCCGCGAACGCCGCCATCCAACGCCCAGCCCAACACCATGCCCAGCCCCGCAGCCAACGTGAGTGTTACCGATCCGACCATGTTGTCACATCATGACCGTCAACACAACACGACCATCACCGCCATGACCACCATCACCATGACCATCACCATCACCACCACCACCATCACCACCACCATCACCATCACCATCACCATCACCGCCATGACCACCATCACCATGACCATGACCATCACCACCATCACCACCACCATCACCACCACCATCACCATCACCACCCCCACCCCCACCCCCATCACCATCACCACAGGGGCCTGTATTC